ATGGCTCAGAATCCAAACACTTTCCTTAGGACCTAAAATGAGAGAGCAGTTTGAGATGCAGCCTTGAAAAATAACTTCCTTGGCCCCAAAAAACTACTCTTACTCCAGCGAAAAGTCCATCACTCAAGCATCTGTATTAACTATGTGTAAGCCTTGTAAGCCCCTGCCTTCCGTTTCCGGCTGCATTAATATCCTTCACTGACCTTCCACTAAAGAGGTGGTTACAATTTTAATTCAGTGTGTGCCAAAGAAGTTGGGATTCAAACTGGTATTGCAGTGACTTGGCATACTTGGCTTTACCACTTTGACTGGGTAAAAGGCTTAACCTCTTCTGCTCAATACTAGCCAGGCCCCTTTGCTTGCCTGGTTGCCTCCAGACACATCGCTATCCTGTGATACTGTCGGCCATATGCTTGTCAACCCTACTAGCCCAAGTGAAGGCCATTAGGAAAACAACTTTAAAAAGCACCTTCTCAATCTTTAGGGTCCCAAAGTGCTGTGGAAGGGGAGCCTTTTAGCCACTTCATCCTGTAAGTTGTCCATGCTTTCCATGCCAATGACTACTACAATAGGTTCCTCCAGGATGATGTCACAAGCCTCCACATACATTCCGGCTGTTTTAGGCCACGCCTGTGTACTTAGTGAACTAGCTTGTGAAAATGCTTCTCATCTAAACTTGGACAATGCATCTGCTATGCATTTATTGTCACCTGGGATATGCTTGGCTATTAATGTGCTGTTTGTTGCATGTCAGCATAAGGTATCTGCGTATCCTCACAACCACCAATGACGTGTTTGACAAATTGTTTATCACATGCATGGCACTTGTGTTATCTGACCAGAACTCAACCAGCCTACATCTGACTTCCTTCCTCTATAGCTTGACAGCTACTTTAATTGGGAACAATTTCAGCAAAGTTAAAACTGAAGTTTGGTAAAAAAATTTTTTTTAGGAATACAGCTCCATACACTCAAGGTATTTGTAATGTTGTTTGCCCCATTGCTGCTTCTGCTCAAAATCTTCTGTATCAAACAATATTTCTCCCTTTTTCTACCTCCAGCAAACCACTAAAACAACTCCTGCAAAGCAAACATTTTTGAAACTCAGCTCTCAGCAGTTGATCCAACTACAATATATCTTCTGCAGTACTTCCATGTAGCCATCAATCAAGAAGCCTTATCCTCCACACCGTGTTCTTGCCTATTGTGGTCCTAGTGCCACCTCATTTGTTCCTGCTCTTGTCAGCTCCAGCTCCAGTTGAGTGCCAGCCTTTTCCCCCACTCACATTTCACCCTGGGGGACCACACTTCCTCCCTTTCTTGACTCCCACCTTCCTTGCTGCATCATCATTTAGTCAATTTCACATGGTTTAACTAATGGGATCCTCTTCCTCAACCCTTGGAAAAAAGGAACACCCCACCTTACCCTGCCTTGTGGTGATTCCGGCACCAAGCACCAATTTTCTTCATCCTCTGACAATTCTGGACAGCCCACAATGCTCCCCCCCTGCACTTCAGGGTGTCTGGCTGCTGCCTGAGAAGCCTCCAGTACTCTGTGAGCGACATGATGAGATTTCTGTGCCTGTGCCAAGGATGTGAACTCACTGCTGTCAATGATAAAGCAAAGGCAATCTATAGCACACAAATGCAGAAGTTGGAAGCTTCACAGACAGCAGTTGGTCACCTAGGTGATGTCAGATCTGGTTCAGGGCATACTATAGAAAGCCCTCTGAAAAGTGTCAGCAAGTACAGGTGATAATTTAAATTTTCATGTGAGCAACTTGAAAAAAGCACTCTTGTGACTCTCATGCTTTTAACACACCATGCAATGAAGATGACATCCCTATTTTTTTTTCCTGCTTTACATGTGACTTTTAGCCTACTTATTGGACAATTTTTTGAGCAAGAAAGGTGATTTAGGAAGCTATAAAGCTCAATAAGGAAATTGAGTCATCTTCCTGGCTGTGCAGTATAGCAGACGTATGAATCACAAAACTGGCTAAACAGTCTTTTGGCAGGTAAAACAGCTCATATATATATATGAGTTGTTTGCTTGTTCTGTGGTAATCTAATTTTTTCGGCAAAATGTACTTCTGACTGCAGAAAGGTATATTTAAACCAATAAATGTCATTATGGAACTGTATTGTTTTATAGGCCTCTGAAACCGTAATGTAGTTCAAATTCTTCAGCCAAAAAGTAGTCTTGTAAATTACTTTAAAATGATGGCAACTATGGAATGATAAAAGAAGAAAACATGGCATGTAGGTACTAGAATGTACACATAATGAACACTGTTGTCTAATAATTGCTTTTATTACTTTCTTGTATAAAACAAGTTGATTGATACAAGAATTCAGGGCAAACTAATATACACTTATGACACTATAAAACCTGACTCATATTTTATCAAATATATACATCTAAATTGTACATCAGCAATCTGTACAGCATTAGTTAACACCAAATTTGATCCCTTTTTGTAGATTAAATACATACAATACTGAGCTATTAATAGGTTACTGAGGTATAGACTTAGCTACTGTATATAAATGTATACCTTAGCCTTTTCTTTGCTTTGCAATGAATTCTGAAATCTGTGGTTTTCAGGCTGACGTTTTTCATTGTATTACTGTGACACTTTAAAAAAACCATGGTAATACATTGTACAAAAATGTATGATCTAATATATGATTGACTTCCTTGTTATGTAATTAGAAAATGAACTGAGAAAATATGGGCATACCCACTGCTGAGAATATGCTCTCTTCATTTATTAACGACAGTGCTGTCAGTAAATCAGGATCCACAAAGTGAAAGTTAGATATTCAGTATTTTCCATGACATATGCCTGTATTTATATATTTTTCCACATTTGTGTTGTTACATGTAGACCAAGCTGTCAAGCAAAAGTGACAAGTGACAGGAGTTGGGACAAATTATACGATGTCAGTTGTGTTTATAACCATTATTTTATTGTAATTGTTTAGGTCTTTATTTAAAAAAATGTGCGACTGCAACTGCTCAAGCTCTGCTGGCAGTTATATGTTATAGTTTATCCCAATTCCTGTCACTGTCAGTCTTCCTGGACATTTACGCGTAGGAAAAATATAAACAGGCCTGTGAAATGAAAAAAGGAATTCATAATACCTAACTCAACCACGCTTTCTTGTTCTTTAACATGAGCACATGGTCACTAAGCATAATACAGGCATTAAGCTACGAACTTGAGTCACAGTTGCTGAAACTTCAACTAGGCCTTAGGCCTCAGACTTAAAATGGTCTGAAAGCTGACAGCTATCAGACTGCTACTTACTTTCGGGGTTCATTGTTGAGCTAGCCAGTCTAGAAATTTCTCTTTTCAGGGGTGTTGCAATATAAACACAGAGGGTTTATTCTTTTGCTAGTAACACAATTATTTGTTGGAGGGCGGTAGGATAATGGGGTACCCAAAATGTTACTAAACAGAGGGAGCTGTGGGAGATCAGATCCCCTCCATGCTACTATACAGATTTCCAAATAGGGGATTTTCATTCTTCTTAAAGTGGTTCTTCAGCCTATAAAATTAAAAAAATTAAGAGTCAGCAGCTACAAATACTGTAGCTGCTGACTTCAAAATAGGGCACTTACCTGTCCAGAGATCCAGCGCTGTCCTCACTTGAGTCGGCTCTTCAGCGCTACGTTATGTGAATTGTCTCGCTGCTTTCTGGGACTTGTGACATATCCTAGAAGGCTACAGGGGAAGAGGGGGAGAACTTCAACTCGGATCATCAAGATGTGAAGTTCCGCTTTAAAATCTTTTCTGCATCTACCAAAAAATCTACTGGTGAACACTGAAAATAAGGAACTGGAACCCCAACAAATGAGACATGAAGGTAGTAATATTTATGTTATTGTCTTCCAAATGTGGTGCAATGTGGACAGATTTTCCTTTGGCATGTTATTTGCCTGCGATCATTTGTCAAGGCTATATGCACAGTAACTTTTGTGTTCTCGCTTCCCCAGTAGCAATAGTTCTGATCTCAGCAATGCTGTGATGGAGGAGATAGTGGACCACACCTGTGGGGGGGTTTGAGAGCTCACTCCTGTGATGGTGGGGGTGAGCAGTAACAGCTAAGAGTGGGTTAGCACAGTTCTAGAAACAAGGCAGGATGCGATGATGTCATCTCTTGGAGCTTTCTGCCAAGCTTTGGGAGGTATGTAAATTGATTACAACCTTTAACAAGGGCATTGTCCAAGTTAAGTCAAAGCTGCACAGTTTCTATTTAATCTACAGATGCCCATTACCTGCAAAGGTAATTTTTGGTAAAGGTGAACTAACCTTTAAGGCAACCTACCGCCAATTCATAAAATCCTTGCACCATGTTGACAGAAGGTTACGGTACGTGTCTTTTACCTGTTCATATATATTGCTATCAAATCTGGTTGAAATTGTCTGACAATGGCTGTGTTTAGCCAGTATAAAAGTCTGACTGTGGAAAAAGATGCCTGTTTTTTTAAAAATATATGTTGTTTTTTTAATTAACAGTGAGATTTAAAACTTGTCCTACATACACCCTAGTCTAGCACAGAGTGGTTTGTGTAGTGGCAGGAATACATCACAGAAAAGTGAAGGGGGCAGTTTATAGACAATTGCAGTAGGGAACACACATAGCGGAACAATTTCTCTACACTGACATCCTCATGCACAGCAGGGAAAACAGTCTAAAGCCACACGTGATCTATTGGAAAATCAAAAAAAGAGTCCAATATTAAAAAATTTTTAGGGCAAGGTAAAACCATTTTACTTTCTAAACATACACCGTCAGAAACCAATGTACATATAGAAGCTCCTACACTTCAAATATCTATAATTTAACATATTCTTTACACCTTTAGTAACAGCACTGATTGGTGAAAACTACTGGAGGTTCCTTGATCAGTTGTATTTGTGCTTATACGAGGTCTGCTGGCAGCTAGTCAACAGTCAGTATTAGAAGAGAAGGAAGAGTGCGTTCTTCTCCTATTTAATGATCTGTGGCATGTCACTCCAGGCTTGGGATTTCTTCTTAGCCAGCTCCATCCAAGAAGGTTCCTCAGACACAGAAAGGGTTGGACGCTTGTATGTGACCTTTTCTTCTTTCTCTGTTATCAAGGACAGCTGTGTACCTGTGAAGGGCAGAGAAACAAATAATGACAGATGTGTTATGTGCTGCATGTATTTATTCTTGTTAAACCTCAAAAGCCTTATTCCATATTAGACAGAGTGATTTCTATTCAACACCATTGCAATGACTGCATATGGTTCGTAGAATTCACATTCAACTGGATATGTTTTGTAACATTCAAGACATTTTGCAGCTTATTCAAGCCTCTTCCAACAAGTCAGAGAGGACAATTGGTTCATGAGAAGCGTGAAAGAGACCATTTACATCACACTGTAACTAGCCCTAAGCAAAGATGAAGTCCTTCAACACCATCTGTTTCCCACATAAACTGTTGCTTTCAAATTGTTATAAGCACTAAAGGTTTATATTTTTACCTTAATGCATTCTCTGCATTAGGGAAAAAAAGCCTTGCACTGTACCCCCCCTCCCCCCCAACACTTTCCTGAGACCTTTATTGATCCAGCGCTGTGCCTGGCTGCAGGTCTTCTCTCCCCTCTTCCTGGTCTCATGGGCTTTGCTGATAGCAGTGGGAGCCATTGACTTCTGCTGCTGTCAATCAAACTTAACGAGTTGAGGGAAACAATACAGCTAAGCCGTATTGTGTGTCACGCACAGCCCAGCTTGGGAGCGAGCCTGCATATCTGCCTCCATAGTACGCAGCTTTCTATGGGGGTAAATACAGAAGAGGAGGAACCCTATAGTGCCAGCAGCGGACCCCAAAAGAGGAGGTTTTGGGCCGCTCTGTGCAATACCATTGCACAGAGCAGGTAGGTATAACTTTAACATCTCTACTCCAACAATTTGACAACAATCTTCGGCCATGTAACTACAAGGATTAATAAATCCTTCAGGCTTTCTAACACCAAAGAATTAGATTATATAATTTAAACTGGGTTGTTCCACAATTTTCCCACCTCCCGTCCTGTTCTTGGATATTCAACTTGTGCCTTGATGCATTCCACGGCGACTGATTTAGGATGACTGTTCTACCTGTGTGGCTGTAAATGCTGGGATATTTTTGTTAAGTGTATTAGAAGAAGTGACTTGTATAAACTGAGAAACGACTTTAGCATTAGAGCAAAAATCCATGTGACTACTACTAGCTATACCATGACCTGTATAAATGAGGACCGTAACAGACATAACTGTGTGTGGCCATTATAGCCCAGCTGCTGCTGTGGAGGATTCCCAGGAGTCTGGGAAATTGGACGGCTGTGGGAGCCAACATTGATCTTAATTCCAGAATGGTTGAGTACACCAGAGTGGAGCAGTGGGTCCTATTATAATCCATCTGTCTGACGGAGTCATACTCATATCGAGCTTATCCCGACCTCCTGTAATTAAGAGGTCTGGGGATCTGGTAAGCCTTCAATTTGCTCTATACGGTGGTGGCTACTCACGTTGGTGATTTTTGGTTGGAATGAAGAAGAATTTTCATCTTTTGCACATTTAAGAGACTTTTTTTATTCACCAAGTTTGTTTTCTTTTCATCCTTTTCATATGAGGATTTTGAGTACCTAGGGTTCTTCAAGGACTGTCATTACTTATATATTAGTGCACTTTATTGTGTATTTTTATTGAGTTTGGTTAAATTGTTCACACCTTAGGCTACGTTCACACTAGCCTTGTTAGCAAGCGGTAGACAGGCGTTTGGGAAGCGTTTTTTTTACCGTTTACCAAATGCCTGGGAAAATTCTGCACATTGCAGCACATAGTGCTGTTCAAAAACGGAAGCGTTAGCGTCACGGCAAAACGGACACCTCTGGTTGAGTCAGGAGGAGTTGAAGCCTCCTATTCAAGTCTATGGTGCTGCTCCGCAAATGCCCGGCTGGCGTTTTTTAGTGCGGTTGCGACGTGGTTGCGGGGCGTTTGCGGAGTGTTAACACCATTCAAACTTCATTACAGGCGTTTGTGGGGCATTTTTAACGTTCGGCATACGCCTAGCAACGCTGCTGACCTGCGCATGCGACGTTTGAGGAGAGTTAAAAACGCAAACGCCGGACCAATGCTTGTCAAATGATATAGTGGCGTTTGGCAAGAGTTGGAAAAACAGTCAAGTGTGAACGAGCCCTTAGGGTAACACTTTCTTTACATACATTGTTTGAGGGGGGGATATCCTTCTGTGTTTGCTGCTCTGTGTAACTGTGAATGTGTGACACTTGTGCAGTTTTTTATTTTATTAAAATTCTTAAGTGAAAAGTGTGATAACCCATGGCCATCACCATCCTACATTGCTCCGACTGCTCTGAATCAATGAAAAGCTAGATCTGATTGGTCATTATGGGTTACTGCCCTTTGCACATTATCTCTGCAATCTGCACTGCGAGTCTGCCAATGGGCAGAATAATAATGATGTGTTCTCTGAATGTTGTTCTGTAGAAAGGAAGAAGGATCCAGTAACAGCTACCGTCTTACCAGGGACAGGATACGGCAATGTGTTTGCTCTCCGTCTTGGCTCATTCATTTCTGTTTTTGTTTCTTCAGGAACAACAGCAACTGCCGTGATTGTACTTTTGTTCTGCATTTGGTCAGTTTGCTGCTTTAAATTAACCTTAAATGGGGAAAAAACAGAACATTTTTTTACTAACACAAGTTGTTTAAAAGCATTTTCAGGAAGAGCAAGTTACATCCTAGATATTTAAGTTGGAGCCTTTAATGTCTTGATCACCCAAGTGTGATGTGTCTGCTGTTTGTTTAGCTCATAGGAATTGCAGCTAAATTATTTATATTTGGGCCCAATGCACCTTGCTTAGCCTTCTACTATTTTACGCCCACAAAGCCTTCATTTTATCATGGAAAAAAACCTGAGGTTCCCTTTTTATCTCACTGGAAGGGGTTGGTTAATAAATTGATCCCTTTATATAAGGACATCTACAGGAACAGGGGGTGCCCAAAAAAATTTGAAAAGGTATGGCAAATCTGGCTAGACAGCCCCTCCACCTCTGCCTAATACTGTGTGTTTTAATCTCAATATGTTCCTTACCCTGGTTATGGGCATAATCCCCAGAAGTCCCTTTCAGATATTTCTTTGCTCAAGCTTATTGTATGTTTCTTTTCCCCTGGTTCAGAGATGACACTACACATGAGGATCCTATCTAATGGGCCCACTTTATCCTTATTATATCTGGAGGAAAATTGTTGCCATCTTTCTCCCCTGTGGCCCACGGAGGCTTTGCTATCCTGCATGACCAGTATTTTGCAGGTTGGGGTAGCCTGGCTGTGAGAGGGGGCTTCTTTAGTAAGGTCTATGTTAGACCTAATATTTTTTGGTTCTCGCCCTGCAAAGCCTCTGGTCATGTGTTTTGTGTTGTTCTATTGTAACTGTATGTGTTTATTAACAAAACTCAATAAAAAATAATTTGATTACAAAAAAATATTTATCTTTACTGCCAGTGAATGTGTTCTTATATAGGCTTAAACTTGTAAGTAAGGACATCATTCTAGCTGAAAAAGCATGTCAAAGCAAACTACAACACTAGGGGTTGATTTACTAAAGGCAAATAGACTGTGCACTGCAAGTGCACTTCAAGTGTACTGCAACTGCTTTAGATCCAAGGGGAAGCTCTGAAAAGAGGCGAAGCTCTGCTGATTTCTTTCATCCAATCACGTGCAAGCAAAAATGCAGTTTTGTTATTTTCCTTGCGTGTTCCCGTCAGATTTAGAGCAACTGCACTTGCAGTGCATTTCCAAGAGCACTTGGAGTGCACAGCCTATTTGCCAATGTGTTGAAAAAGGTATTTATATTGTTTTTTTGGGGACATGGGTGATACGTTTTTTTTTTTACTATGACAGAAAGTTTGCTAGAAGTAATTTCATTTGCTTTTATATCTGACTTCCCACCAATTTACTGGACAATTTGATCTAATCTACCATTTGCAGTAACTCCTAATGACACCCAGATTAATAATCAATCAGAAAAAGGGAAATGCAAAGTGATCCTCATTAGATGAGCTGTCTCTTTAGTTAACCCATAGTACTTTGGCAATACAAGAAAGGAGCTCATTTATAATGGAGAGCAGATATCACTATTAGTACATCAGGGTCTGCATTTTACAATCCATTCACAAAATGTGTGCAGCCTGTGGTAGATTACTGGGTTTTTGCTGCTTACCACAGCAGGGAAAGCTTTGTGGTTGAAGAAGAGCCGGTCATGAGACTTTGAAAGGACACATAATTAGGTTCTCCCAGTTTTTTTTTTTCATGCCTTTCATTTACTCCTATTGCCCTCTGCTGGTTTCAGTGTGCTGACGCTGGTGAAGCATAATGCACATTTGTAAACCACACTGCTGTGGTTAAAGTGTTACTATTTATTTATTTCAGGTACTTATATTGCACTGTAAATTTACGCAGCACTTTACATATATATTGTACATTCACATCAGTCCCTGACCCTCAAGGGGCGTACAATCTAAGGTCCCTAACTCACATTCATATATACACATACTAGGGACAATTTAGACAGGAGCCAATTCACCTACCAGCATGTCTTTGGAGTGTTGGAGGAAACCGGAGTACCCGGAGAAAACCCACGCAGGCACAGGGAGAACAAGCAAACTCCAGGCAGGTGGTGCCGTGGCTGGGATTCTAACCAACGACCCTAGTACTGCCAGGTGGAAGTGTTAACCATTTAGCCACTGTGCTGCCCTCTACCCACAACAGTAAAATCAGCCTGTATATGCAGTAAGCATGCTTGTTATACTTATCGTGCAACCTAAGGGGTTTATCCTCTGCATGTAAAAAGGTTGTTTTGATCCTTTCTTCTCTGTTTCTCCCCATTTTCAAGCAACCATCTCTTATCTCCTGATAAGACAGACTGAATCGTAGGCATTTGCACATGCTCAGTTTGGTGTGTATTGTTAGAGAGATTTTTTTTTTTTTTTCTTGGGAGAGTGCATATGATCAGCACAGGATCAATCAGGACTGGTGAGACAGAGGTCAGGGGTATTGCATACTCCTAGAGCAGAGAGAAAACTCATTCTACAAGCTTTAGCTAGGGCTGGGCTGGACACTGATAGAAGTCACAAGACTGCTATATACTGCTGATGAGAAAAGGTATTTAGCAGTTTCTATTTACTAAAATAATTGCATTTCCATGTTCTGTGTACTGTGGGAGACCAGATAGAGTGGATGCAGGGTCCTGGGTTTAGTAACACATTAATGAATGTGCAAATCACTGTCTGTTCCTTTTAAAGCAGTGGTATGGTTGTGTTACAGCCATACTGCTGCTTTTTCAATCAGACCCTAAATGTTCAATATTCACTTCAAACACCTCTGTAACTTATTAGCCTAACTAATTGACCCCCTAGGTGCATGACATGGGATATTCAACACATTGATTCAAAGTGAAATGATACACAATGAGTGTTAATGTATATAAAAAAATGTTTGCACTTAGTGTAAAAATATGTGTCAGGAGCTGCACCCACTAAACACTCAAATACTACATGAAATTATTACATATGTAAATAATAAGTGCACATCCGCACAATAAAATGGCAACCTCAAATAAATAAATGCAAATTAAAAAAAAAAAGGGAAATAGTTGTGAGCAAACTGTCCAAAGTTCAGTGTTAATAAATGTCTCTTTCAGTTAGTGCATCCAAGCATCATGTGTCCAAATGAAAAAGACTTCACCATCTTCCAGTATAGTGAATGCACCTTGGAATAAATGAACGAACACCTTGTGCCCTCCACTGCAAACAAAATAGCCTCTTACCAGATTGTATTGATCCCTTTTGCTAAAGAGATCAATACCGTATGTAAGTTGCAGACCACTCCAGGTACTTGACAGTATTCCACAGCACTCTCCCACTAAATTATGTCATCGACACCAGGAAACAGCACACCAAGCCAAGTATCATTACCATTTTGGAAAAAGAACAAAGGCCGCACATAGTGTAAAACTGCTAACCAACATTTACTATATTAAGACAGGTACTTACAATTGAAAAGTATAAAAAAAAAAGCAAAAAAAAAACGTTGTGCCACCAACATCTCGGCAGGTGTGATGACGTTACTGGTCAAGCCCCGCTTTATACCTCTCAATTGTAAGTACCTGTCTTAATATAATAAATTCTGGGTGGTGGTTTTACAATATTTGCAGCCTTTGTTCTTTTTCCCAAATTAGGATGATGCCTGGATTGCTGTTCCTGGCATCGATTAGATAATACAGCGGGAGAGTGTTCTGGAATACTGTCAAGCACCTGGAGTGGTCTGCAACTTACACGTGGTATTGATCTCTTTAGCATAAGGGATCAATACAATCAGGCTATTTTATTTGCAGTGGAGGGAACAAGGTGTAAGAGGGCGAATTCACTATAACATAAGGGATCAATACAATTTGCTATTTTGTTTGCAGTGGAGGGCACGAGGTGTTCATTCATTTAACCAGGGTGAATTTCTATAACATAAGGGATCAATACAATCTGGTAAGAGGCTATTTTGTTTGCAGTGGAGGGCACGAGGTGTTCATTCATTTAACCCAGGGTGAATTCTCTATAACATAAGGGATCAATACAATCTGGTAAGAGGCTATTTTGTTTGCAGTGGAGGGCACGAGGTGTTCATTCATTTAGGGTGAATTCTCTATAACATAAGGGATCAATACAATCTGGTAAGAGGCTATTTTGTTTGCAGTGGAGGGCACGAGGTGTTCATTCATTTAACCCAGGGTGAATTCTCTATAACATAAGGATCAATACAATCTGGTAAGAGGCTATTTTGTTTGCAGTGGAGGGCACGAGGTGTTCATTCATTTAATCCAAGGTGAATTCACTATAACATAAGGGATCAATCAGGGGTGGACTGACCATTTGAACACTCAGGCACTGCCCGAGGGCCCGGGGTCAGTAGGGGGCCCCATGAAATGCCCCTGGTACCTTTTATAGGCTTTTTTTTGGGTGCGCTTTGAGTGTGGGAAAGGACACAGGGACCCCATGATCCCCTATTGCCTGGGGGCCCCATGAGTTGCCAGTCCGCCCCTGGGATCAATACAATCTGAAAAGAGGTTATTTTGTTTGCAGTGGAGGGCACGAGGTGTTCATTCATTTAATCCAAGGTGACTTCACTATAACATAAGGGATCAATGCAATCTGGTAAGAGGCTATTTTGTTTGCAGTGGACGGCACAATGGGGTTGACTTGACTAAAACTGGAGAGTGCAAAATCTGGTGCACTTGTGCATGGTAGCCAATCAGCTTCTAAATTCAGCTTTTTCAATTAAGCTTTGAAAATAAAACCTGGAAGCTGATTGGTTTCTTTGCAGCACTGCGCCTGATTTGGTAAATCAACCCCAATGTGTTCATTCATTTTATCCAAGGTGCATTCACTATACTGGAAGATGGTCTTTTTCATTTAGACACATGATGTTTGGAATTACTAATTAAAAGAGACATTTATGTTCACTGAACTTTGGACACTTTGATCACAACTTTTTCCTTGTTTTTGGTTTATTTTTAGCTATTTGAGGTAGTCATTTTATTGTGTGGATGTGCATTTATTACTTACATATGTAATGAGTCTTAATGACAGAATAATGTACAGTCAACTCTCTACCCTTCAGTGGTTTACTGAGAGGGGAGTTTTCTTTAAACTACTGAAACTTTTCTCACCATATCGGTTTCCATAATAAAAGGTGAAACTGTGTGATGAATAAGAAAGTAGTTTTTACGCAGAGCCCTGAACAATAGTTTTCACCCAAAGGATATGGTTCTATTACTAAATGCAGTCTGAATGAAAAGGAAATCACCTCTGTCCTCTCTTTGTTCTGTTTGTCAGCCTCTTGATTTGCAGTCCTTTGTTTGCAAATGGGGTTTTCATCCTTAAAGCTGAGCTGTTTCTGTCTTGCCATGGACATCCAAGAAGGCTGATTCACTTTGTTCTCACCTCCCTTACCAGATTCTGCTGGCACGACAGCAGGAGGGCTTTTATCTGGTAACATAAAATCAGAAAGCCAGCATATTAAGGCATTTCAGTGTAAAATCAGCAAACAATCACAAATGTATTAATTCTTCAAGTTGCTAGTTACAGCATCTTCTTTGTTTGACTACAATAGGTAACCTTGGCTCTGTGCTTGGAACTCTGCTCAACGCGTGGATAGGGTCAGTGCACATTTCTCTACACAATAATAAGCCTTCAAAGAAGATAGACAGACCTTGGGACCTTTAGCTTGGACTGGAGTTCCTCTGTGGGTACAGGCAAGTGTGCATCTCTCAGGGCTGAACACAATCTTACCCACACTGAATTGTGGGTTCCATTGTAGATGTCCTGGCATGGCTAAGAACACATAAAGTGACATATAACTGTCACCTGAAATGCATGCCTATAAAGACACTGCGTTAGCTAAAGTATGTTAGATGCATTGTCTTTCCCTTAGTCTTTTTGTATATGGCCTTTATAGTTACCTTGTCGCAAATATTAATAAAGCAATTCCAAGAGACTTGTTCATCACCTTGGAAACTTCCTAGCATGCACTGCAGATTTGCTTTGCTTTAATCACATACAGTTCAGTGTAAATATGTTGCCATGGCATTTATACATGCGGAAATCACTACTGGAGCCATGGAGATATATTACAACCCCTATCATGGACTCACTTCAGTTTTGTGCAGACTTACAATAATTACACACACTGCAACCTTTCATCCATCCATTTAACATCTAGGCAGTGTAACTAGCCATTCATTCAAATGGATTTTCAGGTCTTTACACTATATAGTTGTTGGTAAGACTACAGGGGTTAGTACAGAAATCATACACTCACCGGTCTCTTTATTAGGTACACCTGCTTGGTAACACAAATTGCTAATCAGTCAATCACATGGCAGCAACTCAATGCATTTAGACGTGGTGAAGACAACTTGCTGAAGTTCAAACCGAGCATCAGAATGGGGAAGAAAGGGGATTTAAGTGACTTTGAAGATGGCATGGTTGTTGGTGCCAGACAGGCTGGTCTGAGTATTTAAAAAACGCTGAGCTACTGGGATTTACATGCACAACCATCTCTAGGGTTTACGGAGAATGGTCCAAAACAGAGAAAATATCCAGTGAGCGTCAGTTTTGTAGACAAAAATGCCTTGCTGATGTCAGCGGTCAGAGGAGAATGGGCAGACTGGTTTCTGCAATATTCAGCTGGTAGGGTCAGAAATGGGAATAAACAACATGAAAGCACGGATCCATCAACGCTTCAGACTGGTGGTGTAGTGGTTGGGGTGATATTTGCTTGGCACTAGCATGGTGTATATAATAAAGTAACTGATGAGTGTACAACCAGATTGTAATCTGTGTGTACATATTTCTTGTTTTAGGTGCATTCAGGTGAAATGAAACATCCTAATGCAGCCCACACAATGGAGTTATATATTTTATTTTATATAATGCTGCCAGCATGTCCATAAAATATGTATTTTATTACAAACATATTCTATGAACCTACAATGCCTATGTTATATTCCCTACCATTACTGGTTACAAATTGCTAAAATACTTTAAAGAAAATGAGACAGTCAGCAGGGTGTTTGTTGTTCATGAATTCTATAATTATATTAACATTTTTGTAAAACCTTTATGGAAATATGCACCTTCTGTTAAGTGTGACTAATTGTACATTTTGCATACCTGTCAGCCCAGGATTTATGATCTATAATCACATTACAATGAAATACAGCAAACACTGGACTGCTAACTTGGCAGTCTTTTCAAAACATGTGTACCAAACAATTCTTATTTTAGAGACTTATTAGGTTCCATTCCCACTTGTACGAAGTCCTGGAGTGCAACTTTGACCCAACTTTGACGTAACTTTGGATGGTTGCAACATGGATATGACTTTGGCTTTCAGTAATGATAATGGACAACTGTTGCATATATAACATTCAGGAGCAACTTTCATACAACTTTTTGAGGGGTTACATTGCAATCTGTGTCACTAAAGTTGCATGAAAGTCGAACTAAAGTAGTGCATAATCTACTTTGAAGTGGCTGCAACTTTAAGTCGTACATATTTGAATGGTTGTCATTGAAAAACATGGGGTATGACCTGTCATGCAATTTTAGTGTCCAAAGTCGCATGACAAGTTGCACATGTGTGAATGGAGCCTTACTCTTTTGCATTAAAAAAATAATCTGAATATAATGTGAAAACCTTTTGATGATTTTAACATTGTTCTGTTTATCTCCTCCTCACCTCCCTGCCTGTCTCCAGCACCACATTCGGGGACTAGCAGGGAAGGGAGAGACCTTGCAGTGTGACAAGCACTGATTGGGTTCCCATCAGGAAAGGGGAGTGTCAGGCTCTTTTAACACTCAGCATCTGCTGATACTGGCGTCTTGTGTTTTTTTCTTCAGTTGGTAGAAGCAGTTCTTTGTTAGCCTATGTGTCCATGCAAAGCTTCAGAATTTATTTTTTTGAGAAGAGCTTTTGAGCAGAAAAAAAACTCTCATAAATGCGGCATTTAGGAGCATTTGGCATTAAGGAGCATTCAGCATTTTCAAGTGTATATTAAAAATGAACAGAGGGCAATTTGAGGCTGTAGCAGCAACCACATGGAATATATTACAATTTACCAGTTTCTAAATGTTGCATCTGCATAAGTTTCATTTGTCAGGCTATGAACATGTTCAGCAAGTAAGGAACATGGTAAAAAGGTTGAGGCCCTAAAATGGAACCAATGTGTTGTCAGCAGAGGTGACCATTAAACATAGAGAAGCTTTTAAGTGGATTCTTCGGGAAGGTGGGTATTTACTCATAAAAACAAATTAAAACACCATAAATGCGTTTCATGGCTTTTTAGTGGCCACTTCGCCAGGAAAAGATGAACCACAAAATGCATTGATGGTGCATGAACCTGTTTTTATGATGAATAAATACCAACTTTCCTGAAGAATCCACTTGCAAGCATCCTTTTGTTTAATAGGCACCTCTTCTCGTTCCATTTTGGGGTTTCATGTTTTTTATGATTGTTCACCAGATCTGATTGCAACCAAGCGCAGTGGAAGAATTTCTGGAAAACCCTGACGGGCAACAGGTGCAACCACCCGCACTCTGCATGCACAGTGTTACTACACTTTTTGCCATACTTTTCACATATGTACATCTGAATATTACTCCTGGAAGGATATTGACTTTTGAATCCACTTTTTCTCTGCTCATCTTGAGCACCACTGACTCAAGAATATACCTGGTGCCCTTGCCAGGATTCAGTGTCCTTGTCACTTCCTGTGAAATGAACAGAAATCACCTTTTTTGTGCCAAACTACTAGTCCCATCAATCCATCTTGAAATGGAGATGAACAAAGGCAGATACATTTGAAGCCCAACCTGTGTGACAACCATGGCTCCCTCCAAAGACACAGTAAAGAAGAAAGCATAGAAATGATGGAACTGGAAGTGTGTTATTTCAGAATAATCAGGTGAATAAAGTGAGAATTTGGGGGTTTAGATACACTTAAAAAGTTATAAATGATATATAAGTTAGAGCTTACCAATACTTTTTTGCACACTCGGTCTTCTCTCTGACATTCTCCTTTCATTTATCACCTCAGGTGCTTTTGACTCAGTGTGCTTTTTTTTTTCCTGACTGGACTCCTTTTCTGCCATTTCTTTATTTGTGTTATTGTCTGCAACTGTAATATTCTGCAGTACAGGTTTTTTGGGCAGTGGCGGTTTAGTCTGTGCCACTTCAATGGCATCTTCTTTGATTTCAGTTTTAGAGCTGACAGTGGGGTCTACACGCCCAGTTTCATGTACTTCATCTTTAGACAATGATACAAATTCTTTTTTTCCTGTTTAAGTTCCGCACTGTGTCTTTTCAAAGTGGTAGTGACTGGGCTCATGCCTTCCCTGTATCTTAAGGATAGCGATGTGGGTCTTAACTTAAAAAAAGGGTTCTTGTCCTCAGTAGCTGTCTGTATGTCTGTCGCCAAAGAGAAATCGCTGGTAGCTGGCTCTGTGCTCTGGATGGAGGTAATGTTACCAGAGGAAGGCTTGTCTGAAGGTGCGCCCTCAGGATCAGCCAAGGTCTCCTTTTTCCTACCTGTGAGCTTTTCAGTTTGAGCGGTAGGAGCAGTTTTGTCGTCTTCTTTCATATTGTCAGTTTTTTAGACACACCAGGCTTCGGAAGAGACAATTTGGTGTTTTTTACAGCATCACCCTCAATATTTCCTTTCAGATTAAAACTATTAGTCCGAGGCCTTTCCCAAGCAGATGATACAGAGAATTTTCTCTGCGCACCTGCCTCTGTAGGAGATTTTTCTGCCTTTTTATCCAAATTGCCAAGCTTGTTATTGTTTTCCTTATCTGATAGGAGTTGCTCTGAGGTATTTTGACTCCTTTCAGAAAGTGAATGTCGGAAAAGGCTTCTCCTACTCTGCAGAGACTCTTCAAAGTGAGCTGAGGGAGTAGTCTTTATTGGGCTAGCTATTTCCTGTGTATTAGATTGTTTTTCAGTATTGTCTCCAGGGACTTTGACAGTTTTTATTGATTGTTTATTGCTACTAGGTAAAGAGGATATGGGCGATGCATTTTTCAGTATGGCAGACAGGTTGCTAGAAGCCATTTCCTTTGTCTTTAAATCTGGCCCACCTGGCAATTCATTGAGCACTTTGATCTGTTCTCCTGGTGCTTTAGCTGGTGCACTTGGAATGATTTCAGACTGTAATTTGAGTTCAGCCATTGAGTCCTGTACTTTTTCTTGGTGCGTTTGTGATTTATTTCCCACTGTAATCTTATAAGCCACCTCTTTGTTTTCTTCTACATTCAGTAATGTGGAATTTGCACTTGGACTGCTATTACTGTCACAGTCATCTTTATTGGGAGTAATGATTTCTGCAGTAGAGAAGTCATTTTTTTCTGGACTAGGTGCTGTAACATCATCCTCTTCCATAGAGTTCAACCCAGCAAAAGATTCTTCCTGCAATGCCTGAGGAAAGGAAAAACAAAAATGTTACTATACTCAAACCTTAAGTTTGATGCAGTATGTTGCATTGTGGCAAGGCCATTATCCATCCAGTTACCCAGTTAGGGTAGTTGTAAACCTAAGACATGAAATATGAACAAAGTATATCCCTCTATAGCAGGGGTACTGAATTAAAATTCATGGGGGTCTGATCAGTAACATTTTCTTCCAACGGAGAATATAACTGGATACTAACATTTATAGGTAAAGTTGATCCAGGGAATATCCTATTGACTCTTGGGGGTCAGGAAGGAATTTTTTTCCCTGCAGGAGCAAATTGGATCATGCTTTGCTGGGTTTTTTTTTTGCCTTCCTCTGGATCAACTGTGGGTGTAGAATTATAACTTTTTTATTGGTTGAACTGGATGGACTTTTGTCTTTTTTCATCCAGACTAACTATGTAACTGTGTGGGCACCTGTTAGTGTGAGGTCCAGGAACTGGTGTGGCAGTGCATTTATGTGCATCACACTTTGTCCTTTTTTTCTTTCAACTTTATTGAAATGTCAAAATTACATTTAATACAAACATTAAAATGGTATGGAGAACTATAACATTTAAAAAAAATCTTACAAAATAGGAGATCTTAGATATTAAGTGGATAGACAAGTACTACAAAAAAAACTTCCCTTTAAATGGCAGGTAAAGAGTTAAAGTACCTAGGAGTAAAGTTATCCCCTTCAATTGAGAGCAAAGCAAATTATGGAATATACCATTATTGAAATAAATAAAAGAGGAGTTGAAGAAAATATCAAAAGGCTCTGGGTCCTAGATAGGCCGAATTAAAGCGGAGTTCCAGCTGAAAAAAAAAAAAAAGTTAGCAGCTATAAAAACTGTAGCTGCTGACTTTTAAAATACAGCCACTTACCTGTCCCTCGGTCCAGCGGTGTCCTCACCACGGCTGGTTTCACTGGCCATCTCTCCCCGGCGCTGGCATCTTTACTGTGGGCACCCGGCTGTGACAGCTTGCGGCTTCACAGCCGGGTGCCCACTGCGCATGTGTGAGACGCCCTGCGCTTTGTATATGGCCCTGTAGTCTTCTGGGACCTGTCACATGTCCCAGAAGACTACGGGGAGGGAGGGGGGGAGGACAACGGAAGTGGGTACCTGTCAAATTCGGGTACCCGTCCCCCCCCGCTCCCAAAGGTACCTATCCTTAATGGGGTGCGGAGGACAAAGCATTAAAGCGGAACTTCGCCTTTTGGGTGGAGCTCCGCTTTAAAATGGTCAAAATGGTGATACCACTGAAAATCTTGTATAAATTCCAAATGCTTCCAATTTACCTGCCGCAAGAGTTTCTTAGGGTATTAAAAAGAATGATAATGAGATATGTATGAATGAATAAAAAAAACAAGGGTGAAATATGAGGTCTTATATAAAGATAAAATAAATGGGAGATTTATATGCTGGAGATTAAAAGATATTACTATGCAGTAATTTTGTCACGGATAATGGGTTGGGTGTATAATTCACAAGGGAAAATTTGGGTCGAGATTGAACAGACACTGAGTGAAGCACAGCTAGATAAAGTTATATGGGTTCCACAGCAACACAGAGGGCTTTTTTTGTAAATACGAGCACTCTTACTAAGAATGTATTTAGGATATGGGACGTAATGCACAAACAAAATGGATGGGAGTGTAACTCTGCATTAATACCATTGATGGGAACAAATTATTTCCCACCAGGAATGAGCACTATCACAGGAACTTGGATTATAGATGGGAATGCATGAATAAAGTAGATTGTAAGCTCGAAAGAGCAGGGCCCTCGAACCCCTCGTGTATTGTATTGTTACTGTCTTGTCTCATGTTCTGTCCCCCCTGCTATTGTACAGCGCTGAGCATACCCTTTTGGCGCTATATAAATACTGTATAATAATAATAATAATAAAGGATATTATGAAAGAAGGGGAGCGAAGCACTTTACAGGAGTTGAGCAGAAAAAAGTGTTTCAGAGGATGGACGAGTGGCAGTACATTCAACTGAGACATTCTGTTGTTTCACTCCCACAACCACTGAGAAAGGTTAAGAATCTGCACACAATAGAGCAGCTACTGAATTTAAAAGGAGCACAAAAACATTGCACTTCGCGTATATATAGGACACTGACTGTCATGGCTGAACCAGTACTACAATTGTTTATAGGTAGATGGGAGAAAGTTTAAAGCAAAGTTAGGTGATCAGAAGAGAAATTTTTTTTTTTTAAATGGCACACGAGGCAGATATGAACACAGTCGAGATGAATTATACATTTATAACAAGATGGTACACCCACACCCAGTAGAGCTCATAAGTTACATCCAGAGAATTCACCTCTTTGCTGGAGGTGATGTGGGAGGGAGGGCACATTGATACATATATGGTGGGAGTGTCCCAAAATACAGGAATTTTGGTGAGACATAGTCCAACAAATAGGAGAATTTATAGGAAGAGAAATAAGTAAAGACCTCTGGGTGTGCCTATTCCATAACACTGACCCAACAGTTAAGCAATATAGGAATACAATGATACGTCATTTACTAAATGCAACAAAAGGGTTGATACCTAGGTTTTGGAAGGCCAAGGAGACTCCTCAGTTAAAGGACAGGTTAAGAAAGGAATTATACTACAGTGGAGAAGATAAAATGGGTAAATTTAGGAAAATCTGGAAAGGTTGGAATGAGTTTTATTCAATCAATGTAAACCCTTCTTCTTTTTAAACCCTCAAAAAGTCAATACTTTCTCCCTAGAAAGTGCAATAATACATATAAAACCTTTTTGTGAATTACAAAAATAAGTGAAATAAATAAATAAATTGATTTTAAACATATAATATACAATAAAGTCCCACTGATCAAAAAAGTGTCCAAAAAGAAAGTCCAAAATAGTGTCCACAAATATCTCCAAATTTTTTTTTTTCCTCTCTTTTCATCCAAAAGGATTGGCTCCTATTTCATCCAAAACGCACCTCGAAGTAAAAAATATAATAATATCTAGTGCATTACCTTAATAATAATAAAAATAACAATAATCACCCCGTGCAACCAAAATACACTTCAAAAAAACTTTTTGTGCAAAAAAAAGAGGCTCTCGGAGCCGGAGAACAGGAGCGTGCACATCGTTTCGTGTCTCTATAGACTTAAAATATCGCCGTTTTCCCCATTGTAAAATGGCGGTCGGAGCCTCGAGTCATTAGGAGGCATGGGCATATAAGGAGCGGCAAGTGGGACATCTTTATCCCTTCAGAGGAAGTCCGGAAGTGACGAAACGCGTTAGTGAGTGACGTCAAGATGCACTTACGTAGACCGGAAGTGTCGCCACGGCCATTTTGTTGGTTTTCAACACATGGTTTTCTATGGTGTTTGAGAGAAAAAGTTTGGAACCATATCTGGAGCTGATAATTTTAAATTTGAATGTAAGTGACGAATAAAAGTTATCCCTATGCTTTGAATACTAGTCCTGAGACCCTTCTTATCTCTCTGAGGACCTTGGAAAAAATTATTTGAAGAGAATGTGGAGGAATAATTTTCCACAGTATTGTCTGAGCATTTCAATACTCATAGAGGGTAATCGTATTTAGTATTACTGTGTGGTGGTTGATGGTACACATTGGATATGGAATGAGTTTTAATTTACACAGACGTTCGCTGTGCTTATGGGGGAGATGGTAAGAGGAGTTCAGAGAAAAAATGTAGACACGAAGAAGGAACATAGAGGAACAATAAGAGAAGGAAAAAGGAAAAAAAGGGAGGTCCTGGGGGGAAAAGGGAAGGGGAAATGGGGTTGGAAAAAACTGTAATAAATTATAGACGAGTATGTATAAAAAGGTTTTCTTTTGTATGTTTTGTAAGCTGCAATCAATAAAAATAAAATAGAAAAAAAAATTAGATAAACAAATTACATTTTATTCATTTTTTTTTAAAGTCCAGCCCTTTGTCCATGCCTGCTGTGCTTCCCGTCTTGTGTGAATAAGATAGGACAGTGTGGGGAGGGTGGAGGAAGAAGGAAGTGCTGAGATGTTATGGAAGGGGTAGACCTGTCGTGCCTCCTATGTTGTGCTCTTCCCTGAGGATGATAGCAGCAGGAGGGCGGGGAGAGGACACTCAGGCAACTATTTGGCGAGGCTGCGGTCCAGATAGGACTTTTACTGGGTCCGGATCCAGACCGCGGTCCGCTATTTAGTGAAGCCTGCTCTATAGTGTGTCTTAGTTAACAGCAAGAGTGTAGTTTAGGTCTGCTGCTTTGTTACTCTGTTATCTGCACGAGTCCCTTCTGACAAGTTTTCCTAACACCCAGAGAAAAAAGGTAACAGGGGAGGGACCTCAGGCAGATTGACCGTCTCAGCTCTATTTCGGTATGCTGTGTGGAGAGTAGGATGTGTCTCTTCCCTCCAATCAGCTCTCCTCAATGAGCTCTGCAGATTGTAACTTTAGCTCCCCGCCCCCTTTTTTCTGAACTCTTGAAAAGCTTTATAAAATCAGCACTTTGAACACGATTCTTTTATTGAGGTGCTTTCAGGGGCTTAGGCAAAAAATGCCAAAAGCACAAACAATGTCAGTTTAGGAGCAGAAGTGTGCATGAGGCCTTATGGCCAAATGTTTGTAAGGCTTTTTTTCTCTTACAATCAACTGTTAGGGTGCTACAGTTGCCCTCCAAAACGCAATAGAAACTGACATTTCACATGTTACAAACATTATGGGTATTATTCATTATTTTTGTGTAAATGCTGAGACATTCACAATGCTAATTTTTTATACACAGACCCCTAATATTAGCCACTTGCCCTCCAGAGGATTTACCCCCCTTCCTGACCAGGCCATTTTTTCTGATACAGCGCTGCATTACTTTAACTGACAATTGCGCGGTCATGCAATGCTGTACATAAATGAAATGTATGTCATCTTTTCCCACAAATAGAGCTTTCTTTTGGTGGTATTTGATCACCTCTGTTTTTTATTGTATGCGCTATAAACAAAAAAAAGACTGACAATTTTGAAAATAAAAACCCAATATTTTTTACTTTTTGCTATAAAACATATCCAATAAAAAAATGTAAAAAATCAAATTTCTTCACAGAGTTAGGCCAAAATGTATTCTGCTACATGTCTATGCTAAAGAAAAATTCCAATAAGTTTATATTAATTGGTTTACGTGAAAGTTATAGCGTCTACAAATGGCAGTATATATACTGGAATTTTTTTTTATATATAATAGTAATGGCAGTGATCAGAGACTTATAGCGGGACTTCTGACACGGGGGGAACCAACTGCCATCCCAACTGACATCTGAATGACACTAATAAAAAGCACTGACTGTACTAATGACACTGGACAGGAAGGGGTTAATATCTAGGGCAATCAAAGGGTTAACAGTATGCTGTGTGTGTTTTACATTGTGTGCTGTGTGCTGTCTTACTTGGGAGACATGCTGCTTTGTATCTCTCTGATGAGAGATGTAAAGCAGTATGTCCATGCTGACAGGAGACAGACCTGTGTTGACGTCAGCTTTACCGACGATCACCGAGTACCGACCAGGAGTCGCCAGCTGGGACTCAGTGACTGACATCCCAAGCAGTCAATAGCAGCACGGGTAGGGCGGTGCACATGCGCCCCCTACCTGGGAATGCAAATCACATATACTGTATATGTGATTTTGCGCAGCTGTGCCGCCCTGTAGCCGTACATCTGCTATAGTGTGGAGGGCAAGTGGTTAAACTGACAACAAATTACAATAACATAACCCAATAATATTAAAAGCTTGTAGTTTGAGTGATTACCGCAGAAGGCCTCCTTATTTTGCTTGACCTTTGATTTCTAGGCTTCACCGACAGCCTATGTCTAGCAGCGGAGTTGTCTAGAAAGGAAGAAAACTGAGGTGGATTGCTGAAATCTGCAGATGGAGAGAGTATGGCGCTGTCTCTTCTCTCAACTGAGCTTTTAGTTGCATCCTTCGGTATATTTTCTTCTGGAGAAAGCGGCCTTGAAGATGTTTCAGATGAAATCTAAGTGGTCAGAAAAGGTACATTCTAATTTTGTCTTTTATAGAACAATACTAAAATATATGTTATTTCAACCAGACAGAAAGCATTTTACCTATGGGCATTCATAAGAGAAATCAAACAGCTCAACTTCTGCAATCTAAAACTAGACTCTTCTTATGTCTGTAGTTATTATAAAGCAGAATTGCTAAAGTGGTAGCATTACACCTGTGAATTTACCCTTGCTGAATTTTAACCGAATTGCTAAATTGGTAGCAAAATTCACCCTGTGAATTTTACAATTTTATGTTTTGCAAACAAAGTTTCAAATTATTCAATAACAAGGTACGATAGCACCAATAAACTCAGTAAATCCCGACAATCTCCAAAATGCAGTTTGTTATAATAATGCGCTGACATATTTTGTTTCCAAAGTAACATCAACACCTTGCATAAAAAAATACCTGGCCATGATGATCTACATCTGCTGTCACTTCTAATCTAATGGCAATACATGGTACACAACTGTTGACTAATAAAGATGAACAACTAGAACACTGCTATATGGGCTTTACTTTATTTTGAAGATTAACCTCCTTTAAAACCTAAGATATTCAGCCAAAGAGACTAAGTCAGAAATTGTTTTTTAGTTTTTAATTTGTTTTTTATTCCTTAGCTTTTAGTGCTTTTATGTGCAATATGTCTTTTTAAAGCAGGACTACAAGTATTTTTAATTTTAGTTAGAGTAAGGGAGGTTTATAACCCGTCAGGTTTTTATTTCTTGCCATCTGTATCCAGTTGGGAATATTTCCATTAAATAATATGTTACCCCAACATTCCATATTCTTGATATGTTTCAGTTGTACCATATACTTGTATGAAAAATAATCCTTTTCTCTTTGTATTGCTTCCATTGTGTGAAATATCTAGTGATCCTGCCAGTCCCCCTACTATGCTGTTTCAAACTTATCAGACTTGGAGGCCAGTCCCCTCTGCATGGACAGCTTAGTGCTGTTTTCTTCTCCCTCACCTCTCTGAGCTCTTTATGCAGCTAAGAACAGAGATTATGTGATCACTTGTAAAAAAAAAAAAAAAAAAAAAAGTATTATAAAAAAAAAAAAAAATATATATATATATATATATATATATATATATATATATATATACTGTATATATACAGTGGGGCAAAAAAGTATTCTACCCCATGACATTTATTAGCAGTACACCCTTGTGCATATAATTGTTTTCAAACTTTCACTGGCATTTTGAAGCCATTAAAAATTCTTACTGAGAGCTGATTTTTACATATAATATACAGTAGAAATGTGTGCTGTTACTAGAAATCTATTCTACTTTAATAAGCAGAAACACACCTTGAGGGAACCTGATACTCTATGCTATGTAACAAAAAGCATTCTATGCATTAGGTGAAAAATTCTGCTGTGTCCAAGTCTGCCCTCCCAGCCCCTCCCCCCTTATACGTACCTGAGTCCGATCTCCTATTCAGCACTGTGCCCAAGAGAAGTGTCTCTCTCCACTCTCTCCCTCCTCACAAGCTTCTGCTGATGTCAATCAAATCCTGTGATGAGGGAAGGGGGAGGGGTTTGGGTCTGAGCCCTGCTCTCTGTATCTATGGATGCAGGCATTGCAGCTCATGAGCCCGCATGAGTGTCCCCATAGGAAGCGAATTCCTATGGGGGCACTCACTAAAAAGGAGGAGCTAGGAGCGCCAGCAGGGGACCCCAGAAGAAGAGGATCGGGGCTGCTATGTGCAAAACCATTACACAGAGCAGGTGAGTATAACATGTTTATTATTTTTTAAAAATTAAGGTTTAGAATCACTTTAAGAATAGCATTAATTCAGATACACTACAGCAATAAGAACCCGCAACAGTGTAATAGGAATGTTGCTTTAAATGTATTACAATATATTAAGAACCATAAAGGTATACTACCTGTTCATCTTCTTCGCTGCCCGTTCCACCTAAGCTCAGAGAACTGTGATGTCTATGAATGTCAGAAAACTAAAGCAGGGAATACAAAATCTATTATTATTTTTCATATTATAGGAAAATCTAATACAAGACAGAGAGGTCTCACATTCAATACTTGATATTCTATTTGATTTACATTGTTACATAAATTAATTAAAATTCGTACTTTATTATTAGCATACTAGAAATATTACAAAAATGCATGCTAATTTAAATAATACTGTACACTAGAATACAAAATAAAAAAAAAAGCTCTGTGACACTAGTGTCCTATGCACTCATCACTAAGGAATATACACTCACCGGCCACTTTATTAGGTACACTTATTCAACTGCTTGGTAACACAAATTGCTAATCAGCCAATCGCAGGGCAGCAACTCAGTGCATTTAGGCATGTAGATGTGGTGAAGACGACTTACTGAAGTTCAAACCGAGCATCAAAATGGGGAAGAAAGGGGATTTATGTGACTTTGCTTGTGGCACCATTGTTGGTGCAAGACGGGCTGGTCTGAGTATTTCAAAACCTGCTGATCTACTAGGATTTTGCACGTACAACCATCTCTAGGGTTTTACAGAAAATGGTCCAAAAAAGATAAAATATCCAGTGAGCGGCATCTGTGTGGACGAAAATGCCTTGCTGATGTCAGAGGTCAGAGGAGAATGGGCAGACTGGTTGCTGTGAAATTCAGATGGTAGGGTCAGAATTTGGCCTAAACAACATGAGAGCATGGATCCATCCTGCCTTGTATCAACAATTCAGGCTGTGTTGGTGGTGTAATGGTGTGGGGCATATTTTCCTGGCACTAGCAAGGTGTACCTAATAAAGTGGCTGGTGAAGTATATACAGTATATATACACCGCAGTGCTTTGGGAATCCTTTGACCAAAGCACATACTGTACATTGTTTTCTTTTTCTCCCCCTCCCCATTTGATCTTCCTCTTTCTCTTTACTCCTTCCCCCTCTCCCCAACTCCACTGTTTCCAACTCTTTCTTATTTCTATTTTCATACAGTTTCCCTTCTTTACAATTCCAGCATGAGGTGGCAGGTAAAAAAATGAAAGCACACACAGCTGTACCTAATATTAGGCATGACATAGTTAAAAAGTCATTGTACAAATGTAAGGTTCTTTTATGGTGATACATGCAGCTAACTACTGTCTCATTCTTCTAATACTATAACAAGTTTGTCTTCTACATAATATTTGTGTCTCATGCTGCATTGTACAAAAATTAAAATAAAGAATTAAAAACATTAGAAAAAAATCAGTATAAAAACATGTATTCCTTTACAAACCATACTTTTATTGGTAGATCTATACAGATATGACTTCTACTTACCCTAGTTTTGATGGACTCATGTACAAGAGACATTTCAGGAGGGCTTCTTGGTAATCCATCATCTTCGGAACTGGTTCCAGGATCTTCAGTCCGTTTACTCAAAAAGCCAAAAGGGGGTGGTCCAATTTTTATATTGGATTGAAGCTTTAACTGTGAGATACAAATTATGTATGTTTACACTCACTGAATTCTAGTAGTATAGGGATAAAGAGATAAAGTCAAAGGCCTAACAAAATGCCATCAGGTATTGGTAGGGCTGACTGGACCAGCAAGATAAGTTGGATTAATCAAATCCCTGCCCACTAAGGACTGTAACAACTAGCTGCTGAGTGTGACCTTGTTTAAAAAAATCAGTCCAAATAATAATTAGATCTTTACTACCACATATAACATTTCCCATCTTGCAAGCCCTGATGAAGGTGGCAATTCCTAGATCCCTAAACGCAGTGACTGTGTGTACAGTTTCCATCTGATTTTATACTAATATCATCGAGGCCTGGATCTGAACCCAGGAACTCTGCTGTGTCCGATAACGTATCTTCTTTCTGAAATGCTGGACAGCACCCTGTCAAATCCATTGAACAAACCTGCCTTGTGTCTTTTTTCTGCTAAACTTTGAACTCCTTGTTCCTCCCATGAACTTCCTATTTAAGCCATGCCTTTGCACTTTCTGTTTGCCAGATTATTAGGCTCTCTCCAGCCAAGGCTCTCTCCAGCCAACATCTCGCTTTTATCATTCCTGCTGCCGTCTATATCTTTGCTACCACTTATTACTGACCTTTGACTTGTTCCTCGACTATGCTTCTGCTTGATCCCAAACTGCAACCACTTGTTACTGACCTTTGGCATGTTTACTGACTATGTTTCTGTTTATCCTTACCTGCTACTGGTCCCCGGCTTGCTCACCTCCTGGTGGGGCAATGCTGAGGGCCGCGACCTGGTACTAACACCAAGAAAAACCCATCTTCACTGTCTGGTGAACACTTAGTAAATACACACTTCAGGTGAGTATGTGTCATCCACCAGGGTGATTTGCTTCTGTCATTATCTAGTTGGTCGGTAGGATCCGCTCTACTGCTATAGCTACTGGTATCTGAGTCTGACTCTAGACTGTGACACATCGTGTGGCACCTCAGTCCTAGATTCACGTTATCCAGTCACAACCCAAGGTGACTGTAAAAGCCATTTGTTGTGTAAAAGATGGTAGCCCAGTGTACAGACACTGGTGTAAACCCAAACGTTCTCTACCCTACTGTGAAACAATACATTTTTCTTTGGGGAATACAGCTCCATCTATCCACTTCTTCATGAATGTCCACTAAAGAATGCATTCTGGAACTTTTACATACAGTCTGAACTTCTACAAGACTTGGTGATCTCTATCTAATCAAACCGTTTTTTTTGTAATGCTTTGTGACACCAAAATTAGCAGCATTTATAAAAACTTTAACCCTTTTATAACACATATCAACTTGCACACAAAGCATACTTTTTATACAATGCTTTGTGAGAAACTTAAACCGCACACTATTCTACACCCCCTTCTAAGGCGGGGGCGGGCCCGTCAGCAGATCTGCTTGCCCAGCAAGGGAACTGCCCTCTGATCCCCAATAAGCAAGCGGATGACAGGTCCACTTATGCAGCGTGGACACACAGCCCGCTTTCCTCTATGGGCTGTCAGATGGAAACAGACCACCTGTCCGTTTCCATCCGACCGTCATCCAATCTGATCCGCCAGATGGATGGGGAACGGATCCCCTTCCGTCTAATTTTAACAGACAGGATCAGATCGGAAGCACCCGCTGCTCCACAGACAGCATTTGAGTGTCCGATCGGGTCTGCTTGAAAAACAGAATGGCGGACCTAAATGAATAGTGCAGCACTGCTCCTATAGTTATCATACAAACACATGACCTGTGTGACAGCTCCTTATATACCCATGTATCTTTGGATGAGGACCAAAAACATGTATAAAATTACATAGAATAAAATAAAGAGCTAAATGAATATAGCCCAAAAGTTTTTGATAAATGATGATTCTTCAATCCAATTTTTATATTATTCAGATGTTCTTCTATTCTAGTTTTCATGGTCTTTTATTCTGCCCACATACTGTTTCTTGCATGGGCACTGGATAATATACCCCTTCCATGTTACAGCTAATGTTTATAGCAACATCAACAGGAATTGAATATTCAATCTGGGATTTTATTAGCTGTAACACGGAAGAGGTAGGGCAGAACTAAAAGAAGTCCTGATTTTAGTTATACTACACTATGGTCAGCATTTTATGATTTTGAGCGTTTAGATCGTTTGGCTGGTGAATTACTAGATGACCGGAGAAAGGAGTAGGTGTAACAAGTGGCTCAAAAGCATTGAAGATTTCTGATTAAATTATGATTAGACCTATATGGTCTTGAAGGTGAGACGCCACCCAAGAGCACTATTGGTGTACACATATTAAAATGCACAGCACAGGAAAGTGTCTTTGCACATGTAAATGATGGAGCACTAATATGGACTGTACCTTTTAATATCGAATATTGAATATAATTTATCACAATTAATTGCATGGACTTCCTTTTATAAACTTTAGTTCTATATTTTTGTATTTATATTATCACTTTCTAAGGATTTTTATCCACCAGGAGTGTTTATTATAATCACCATATTATTTATGTTTGTGGTGGAGTGACACAGCTGTAGTTGCTGATATATATATATATATATATATTCATTTAGATCTTTATTTTATTCTATGTAATTTTATATATGTTTTCGGTTCTCATCCACAGATACATGGGTATATAAGGAACTGTCACACAGGTCATGTGTTATTTAGTTTGTATGATAACTATAGGGGCAGCGCTACACTATTCACTTTGGTTTTTGTTCATTGTGCTGGAAACACTTTTGTGTTGGCAGCAGCCTCTTTGATTTCACTTTAGAGATTTGTTTTCCAACCAACTGCAATCAATATAGTTTAATTCAGTGGTTGTCAACATATGAGCTAAAGCAGGACTCAAATGCGGCCCCTGCCATCACCAAAAGGGTCACACATAATGTTCAATATATGTAATGCTTGAGAGGACTTCAGAAACTGCAGACCTAATAAAGTTAATGAGGGTCAGAGATTGTGGACATGCTACATATTTGGCTGGAGATGGCTGCAGAAGATAAAAAAACTGGGAACATGTTACATGAGGCTAGTAGAGATCAATGCTATTACCCTGATCAATATTCCCACTACAGACTGCTGACGTCCAAGGGCCGTACCAAAGGGCTGTATGCGGCCCTCGGGCCACAGGTGGGGCACCAGGGATGTAGATACAAGCAGTTTGCCAGCTTTCCATAACAAGGACGAGTCCAAATTTTATTGTAGTGGGACGTACCTGCAAAGCTTTGATATGGTCAGACACATTCTCCTGTGAGAAAACACGCACTGGTCGGGTAGTCTCTTGTACTATCTCTGGAATGAAGATGCTATCATGTGACACAGCTCTGCTCCCCAGCACTCCAGCTGCAGTCCTGGAATGATATGACCTGCCATGTTACTTTAACTAATGGATCCCTCAGACTGATAATAGTAAAGTCAACAGCCTGTCTGCTTTTTGTAAAACAACCTCCATGTCTTACATTTAGCGTACATAGCATAAAAATTCTATATCTATTTTTCTGGCTCCATGCACACTAGCATTTCTTTTAAGCTAAACACTGGGAAAAATGCTGGATAAAAAATGCTGGTAATAGCGTTTTTAGTAGCGTTTTTAGTAGCATTCACGTTTAGGAGCATCAGTGTTACAGTACATGTTGAGGAAAAAGAAAAAAGCTAAAAAAAAGCTGTTAGGAGCATTTTAGTAGCATTTAGCATTTTTTTTTTTCTGCTGGAAAAAAGCTCCAAAGAACTCTACAAAAACATTTTTTTTCCTGCTCCAAGATGCCTAAAGTAGTGTGCATGGACACATAGGATAACACAATTTCGTTTCTAGGAGCAGAAACAAAATACTCTGATAATAGCTTCTATGAGCTTAAAAAAAAGAAAACGCTAGTGTGCATGGAGCCTAAGTATGCTTGGCATTATGTCTCACTGTACACAGTTTTCTTAAATATAAGCTTCTAATGTCTTAATTGCTTCCTCTCCCCAAACACAGTCTACAGGCCATTGCATTTTTATCATTCATAGTCTTACTAGTCGGAAATCTTACATTATATTGCTGGTGGCGTCACCACTAAGCAGTCGAAATCACAGTGTGGCTGTACGCCAGAAGGGAGGGGCCAGTGAGGTGCTACCTTTCATATCTGATGTGTTTTTTATGAGTGTCTCTCAGCCACATCTTTGTACCCCTCACAGACTGCTGCTCTCTGAATTGTCATCAGATTTCATGCAGCCATCAGCATAGGCTGCCAATCTGTCACTGTGTATGAGATCCATACAGGTGCTCTGCCACTTGGACTCAATCACTTAGGGCAGTGCTGCTGTAATAAGCTAAAAGAAGGCAGTAATACAACAAGTCACCATGCTCTTAGTAGAGATTAGCGGCTACGAGTTGTCAGAAACTAAAACTGCTAACTAGGCTTGGCAAGGGACATGTTTTTGCTCGAACATTAGTAACAAAGCTGCAAATTTACCCACTTGTCAACCACGTAATGCATTTATGCAGCTGCAAGAAAAGTGGGCTTTAATGCTCAGCTGCTGAACCATGCCATGGTGTCCTGAGGCTGTGTGTTGAGAGCGTTCTCACTGCACTTCCGATTGTCACCTCAGTCAAGGCTTCTGATTGGGAGCCAATAGGATGACTCCCAATCATGTGACCATTGTGAGACCCAATTACAGTGGTAACATAATGCAGAAGCCATGTTGCCTCTTGAGCATTAAAGCCCATTTAAAGAGCCACTGGGAGGCGGCATTTAAAGTGTTAAAAACATGATAAATGGTTTGGGGAATGGCATTGCTTTGGTTTTACATTGACAGGAGTACAGTGATACCTCTGTTCACGAACGCTTCTGTTCATGAACAACTCGGTTCGCAAACAGAAGAGTTTGCAAAAATTTGTTTCGGTACGCGAACTCTGCTTCGGTTGACAAAATGACCCGCGGCCATCTTCCCTGCTCTGACATGTGATCCTGTCTTCCTGTAGGCGAGATCGCGGTCACAGGCAGACACTGAAAGTATGCTGTGAAGACACTTACAGAACTGAGAAGTTTTTTGGTGTGCTTTTTAGCACATACTGTACAGTACTGTACTGTACATCCCCGTGCACACTTGCTGTAAAGCTTTTTTGTGTGCTTTTTAAGCACATACTGTACCAGACATCCAGTATGGCTCCAAAGAAAATTCAGAGCAAGCATGATGGTAAGGAGAAAGTGCGGAGCAGTAATGAAGGTGACAAGAATGTGCAGAGCAAGCATGTTGCTGAAAAGAAAGTGCAGAGTGGAAATGAATTTGACAAGAACGTGCTTAGCAGTAAAGAAGGTGACCAGAATATGCAGAGCGGTAATGAAGGTGACACGAATATGCAGAATGATAATGAAGGTGACCAGAATGTGCAGAGTGGTAATGAAGGTGACAAGAATGTGCAGAGCAGTAAAGAAGGTGACAAGAATGTGCAGAGCAGTAATGAAGGTGACAAGAACATGCAGAGCAAGCATGGTGGTAAAAGGAAAGTGCAGAGCGGTAATGAAGGTGACAAGAATGTGCAGAGCGATAATGAAGGTGACCAGAATGTGCAGAGCGATAATGAAGGTGACCAGAACGTGCAGAGCAGTAATGAAGGTGACAAGAACATGCACAGCGGTAATGAAGGTGACCAGAACATGCAGAGCAGTAATGAAGGTGACAGGAATGTGCAGAGTGGTAATGAAGGTGACAAGAACATGCAGAGCGGTAATGAAGATGACAAGAATGTGCAGAGCAGTAATTAAGGTGACAAGAATGTGCAGAGCAGTAATGAAGGTGACAAGAATGTGCAGAGTGGTAATGAAGGTGACAAGAATGTGCAGAGCGGTAATGAAGGTGACAAGAATGTGCAGAGCAGTAATGAAGGTGACAAGAACGTGCAGAGCAGTAATGAAGGTGACAAGAATGTGCAGAGCAGTAATGAAGGTGACAAGAATGTGCAGAGAAGTAATGAAGGTGCAAGAATGTGCAGAGCAGTATTGAAGGTGACAAGAACGTGCAGAGCAGTAATGAAGGTGACAAGAACGTGCAGAGCAGTAATGAAGGTGACAGAATGGGCAGAGCTGTAATGAAGGTGACAGGAATGTGCAGAGCGGTAATGAAGGTGACAGAATGTGCAGAGCAGTAATGAAGGTGACAAGAATGTGCAGAGCAGTAATCAAGGTGACAAGAATGTGCAGAGCAGTAATCAAGGTGACAAGAATGTGCAGAGCAGTAATGAAGGTGACAAGAATGTGCAGAGCAGTAATGAAGGTGACAAGAACGTGCAGAGCAGTAATGAAGGTGACAGGAATGTGCAGAGCGGTAATGAAGGTGACAGTAATGTGCAGAGCGGTAATGAAGGTGACAGGAATGTGCAGAGCAAGCATGTTGTTAAAAAGAAAGTGCAGAGTGGTAATGAAGGTGACCAGAAGCACCACCCCAACATAACTGTAAAGAACAGAGTGTGGAATCTATAGGGTTTAGACACATTTTAGGAAAACTGTATACAGAAAGACATGATGCCAAGCGCACTGAAAAATAGACTTCTGGTTTACATATTCTTTAATTGCCAAGAAGCTTAAAATTAACCCCTTGCTGGCAAAGTTCACATTTGCAGCAAATTGAAATCAATATGTTCAAGGTTTCTGCCAACAAGAACTGAAATGTAAGCTACCAAGGAATTATAAAATCTCGTTTGTAGTCTAAGCTGAATCCACAGGCAACTACTTTAGACAAATAACTATATACTCTACTAGACGGGAAGATTTGAGAGTTTGTTATTCCATGACAGAAAAACACTATTACATATATATATATATATACAATACACATACTAGTACAATAATCTCTGGCATTTGGTACAGAACTGATCTACTATGCATTCATTATGGAATTATGGGACAATACTAGTGCTTCAACAAAGAAAGGAGTGAGAAGCAACAGGCGTCAAAAAGATACAGATTTTTTAAAAGTACCAAAAGAAAGATGAAAAGCTGACAGATCTGTACACAGCAGTAGGTTGATGGATATGACTTACTCAAGGTCATCCTCAGAATCATAATCGGTGTTCCCAGATTCAGGGACAGTGACATCGCTTGCAGACTGCTCTTCAGCCCACTACTGCCCAAAGAAGGCAGCGTCTCTTTCCTCTTCTTAAGTCCAAAGAATTTTTTAAAAGACTTGAATTTAAACTTCTTTTTGGCTAGAAAAATCAAAGAGGGCCAGCAATGAGTTATCAATAAATGTATATGTTATTTTCCATCCAAATAAAGATTTGTACACTTATTTGCATATATCCAGATTTTGCTTTTTAGTGTGTTGCTTGGCAGAACGAAGTTCTTCCCCTATTTCAGCCTGACAGCTCTACAGGCCTTTCAAAAACAATTTGCCTGTGTAAATTGTTGGGTCAGCAAGTAACTCCAAAAAATATGATTCAACTGCACAGTGTGGGCTTATTCAGAATGGATGCGTCATCATGCATTCTCCTACATTTTTATAGTTCAGGCAAAAATGCAAGGGCAAGAGGAAATAATGGGACCAGTTCATATCAATGTGTTAGATTGCAAAGCAATGGATAAGTCCTAAAGGCTGCAATTTGGTTATGCTGACCCACATTTTCTATTCAAGTCAAAACAGCATAAGACATCTAAAATGTGTGTCAATGTGTGTGCTTTGGCCTGTAATAATTAGACTTGAGTTTTTTATTTTATATAAAGACAGCTTCTAGAAAAATATTTTTTCAGATTCTTCTGAAGAGCATATTAAAAAAATAAATAAATAAAAGCCTAACCTAATATTTAAAAGTTAACTGGCAATTTTGATCTAACAAGAGTTCTGGCATCAACCATAAAATATAACATTAATAATAATGATAATGATAATAATACTATTACAAATATTAGTAATATGTTAAATGAATAAAACAATAATTATCAAGCTTTCAAACTCATGACTGATACTAATGTGTATTCTAAAAATAAGTATTTTGGGGATGTGGTTTGCCAAACTGAGGAGGAGACCACACATTAAAGTGACACTAAACAATAAATAATCCATACACATACACTACTTGATAGCCTTGAAATCTATTTGTCATTAAATCATTTCCTTCTGTTTTTTTGTCTCCTTGAAACATCCTGCATAAACTCCTGTACCTCTCATCTCCCCTCCACTTCCATTTGTTTAGTTTCACTTTAACTCAACGTCCGCTGTATCTGCAGAACAATGCTGCAGTGGGGAAGATTGGCAAGGATGCTCTAGCCACAAAAGCTCCTAGAGAAGCCTTATCCCAGGATTACAGGGGTATGCCAGAAAATTTTACATTTACAGAAACCCATGGCCACAGGGGAAGAACACTGGCTCTTCCCAGTGTCCTCCAAAGCCAACTGCACTGGCCAACCCTTGCCAGCTTCCCATGTTGGAGGACAGACCCTGCTGGTGACTGATATCAAATCTAACTAACCAGTTGTTATAACAGAGCTGCGGGCTGACTTGCAAGTACTGTAGACCAAAATCACCTATGGAATTCAATAGAATCCACCTTGCCCTGAGAACCAAAGGCCTGCCTGTTGATCCCCCTGAGAGAAAAGATGTGTTGTCTCCCAAGCTTTCTCTGGAAGGAAGAGATCCTTAAACAGGTAAGTATAAATTAGGCCATAAGCTTTATCAGCATCAATGTAAATCTCTTCCTAGACCTCTCTCCATTCACCCTCCAAAATAGGAAAGCCCTGAGACCACTTCTTTCCCTACTATGAGGCAGTCGTTTTTTTCATGCACATGGCATTTTCCTTTCTGCCTCTGTGTGAAACACAACGCCAGCCCTTTACATTTTTAAACACCCTGATGACCTGACCACTGTAATCCAATTTATAGAATGTACACTATGTTGCCAAAAGTATTGGGACACCCCTCCAAATCATTGGATTCAGGTGTTCCAATCACCTCTATGGCCACGGATGTATAAAATCAAGCACCTAGGCATGCAGACTGCTTCTACAAACCTTTTGTGAAAGAATGGGTCGCTCTCAGGAGCTCAGTGAATTCAAGCGTGGTACAGTGATAGGTTGCCACATGTGCAATAAGTCTATTTCCTCGCTACTTAATATTCCATAGTCAGCTGTTAGTGGTATTATATTAAAGTGGAAGCAACTGGGAACAACAACAGCTCAGCCATGAAGTGGTAGGCCAAGTAAAATGACAAAAGCGGTGTCAGCAGATACTGAAGCGCATAGTGTGCAGAAGTCGCCAACTGTCTGCAGAGTCAAAAGCTAAAGACCGCCAAACTTTGTGTGGTCTTCAAATTAGCACAACAACAGTGTGCAGAGAGCTTCATGGAATTGGTTTACTTGGACGAGCAGCTGCATCCAAGCCTGCCTGACCTGTTCTCTGGTGTGACAAATCACACTTCTGTCTGGCAATATGATGGACCTGTCTGGGTTTGGCAGTTGCCAGGAGAACAGTATTAGCCAGACTGCATTGTGCAAAGTGTAAAGTTTGGTGGAGGGGGATTATGGTGTGGGGTTGTTTTTCAGGGGTTGGGCTTGGCCTCTTAGTTCCAATGATGGGAACTCTTAAGGAGTCAGCATACCAAGACATTTTGGACAATTTTTATGCTCCCAACTTTGTAGGAACAGTTTGGGGATGGCCCCTTCCTGTTCCAAGATGACTGCGCACCAGTGCACAAAGCAAGGTCCATAAAGACATGGATGAGCAAGTTTGAGGTGGAGAACCTTGACTGGCCTGCACAAAGTCCTGACCTCAACCCAAAGGAACACCTTTGGGTGAATTAGAGCGGAGACTGCGAGCCAAGCCTTCTCGTCCGACATCAGTGCCTGACCTCACAAATGTGCTTCTGGAAGAATGGTCAAACATTCCCATAGACACACTCTAAACCTCGTGGACAGCCTTCCCAGAAGAGTTGAAGCTGTTATAGCTGCAAAGGGTGGGCCAACTGAATATTGAACCCTACGGACTAAGACTGGGATGCCAATAAAGTTCATGTGAGTGTAAAGGCAGGCATCCCAATACTTTTGGCAATATAGTTTATAGCAGAGATTTACCAGAGTGGTATCAGCATCTTTTTCAACCTATTGGCACCTTAGGTGGTTCTCCTGACAAGCCCTCACCTAAACAAGGAAGATTCCTTGCTCCATCTGCTGGAGGGAAACTACAATAGCTGAGAACACCTTCGTCCCAGCTCTCGTGTAAACATGCTGTTTTTCTTAAAAGATAAGTCCACCTTTTAAAAAAAATAACTACACATCTTTTTGCAGCTATAAAAATATTTATTTATTTTTGTTTTTACTTAGAGCCTGTAAAGCATTGCACCCACAATCAGCAGATCAAATGTGCCACGCAGGACTCCTGCAGACTTGTCAGTGTATCTGTCTGCTTGTACCTCGTATGCGTAGGCCGATATACACTGACAAGAAGAGACAATGAACTACCACAGTGCTCAACAGTGCCATAATAGTTAATTGCTCCTCCAATCCTCCTACCACTCTATCCCCCACAGCCACTTCCTCCTGTACCAATATCCCCTCCCTCTTAGATTGTAAGCTCGAAAGAGCAGGGCCCTCGAACCCCTCGTGTATTGTATTGTTACTGTATTGTCTCATGTACTGTCCCCCTTGCTACTGTACAGCGCTGAGCAAACTTTTTGGTGCTATATAAACACTGTATAATAATAAATAATAATTGAAAACCACAAGCTGACAGCCACAAAGGCTGTTGTACTTGCAGTTTCTCATTCACAGAACTCTGCGGCCGGGCGTGCAAAGCATCTTTTAAAAAAATAGCTAGTGGGGGGAGGGGGCGGGGAGAAGATCCCCGTTAACCGTTATCAGATGCAGCGGAGCAGGGAGCAGCCGCAAGAGGCGAAACATGTTAAATGTTCCACCCTAAAAAATGGATGTAACATGTTCCCAAAGGTGAACTTATGATTTAAACATCATTGTGTATTCTTTGCAAAGTGAACTTTCACCACTAAGCTAAGGTAAAATTCCCTTACAAAATGAAAGCATATTCAGTAAAAAAAATCCATGAAACATACAAATCATCTTCCAACACCATAATGTATTTGGGGATAAGAGTACCAACCAATTCTATGGACTCATTTCTAGAAGCAATTAAATTCTAACTACTTCCTTGGAAGGACATGAACATTACAGGGTTTGGGAGATTAGCTATTGTAAATATGAATGTCCTTCCCCTTTTTATACCTGATGTAAACAATACCAATTTGCCTACATAACTCCCTTGAAGGAAATCCAGGCCCTATGCACTAATAGTATCTGGCGTGACTCCACTCCCAAACACAAGTATTCTTTGCCTAAAGCTCAAAAATAAAAGGTGGGCTTGGGATCTCTTTAACTATCATTTGGCTTGCTTTGTAATGTGTCCAATTGACTGGAACTGCCATGCTGCCAATGGAGATTGGATAGGCAATCTTCCTGGCTTGGAGACGCTTTTGAAATCTTTTACAAACCTGCTGATAAAACTATTTTGACAACTCTGGGCCTCTTACTTTCTTTTGGAATAACACATATTTTCCACCTTGCCAAAGGTTTTGTCACCAACGAGAAGTTTTTGCAGAGAACCGAGATCAAAATCTCAGTTATCCTGCAATCCCCCAATGGTTCTTTATTCAATAAGAGACTACATAATCAACAACCCTCAAAAAAAAACTTTTTTCAGGGTACCACTTCATTTGAAAAAAAAAATGCCATGCTGGCTACCCTCTGTTCACCATACAATATCTACTTTATACAATCTTCTAGGTACTGCATCCACTGAATGACACCACAATTTAGGACACAATTTAGGACAAGAACAAGACATTCATTTTAGGTTCACTCAAGAACAATGGAGTAAATCCTGGTCAATAGCCAGAAAGTTTCCATTAACACAAAATGTTAGGAATTGTCCTTAAAGTTATACTAAACCCAGGACCCTGCATTCACTATACCAGGTCTACCATAGTACACAGAACATGGAAAAGAAATTATTTTAGTAAATGTAAACCGCTAAATACCTTTTCTCATCAGCAGTTGTATCAGTCTTGTAACTTCTATCAGTGTCTGGCCGAGTACAAG